CGCCTATTGGTTATGCCTATTGCCTACCACTATTAAAAGGACCAGTCCATTACGGTTACCTGCTTGATTGTTCTACCCGGTTACAGTAGTGAAAAACCACTTTGCTACTTCGAACAAATATAATCCCTTTCTGGGACATAACAGTCTGTCTGGTAGTTAAGGCAGATCTGAAATGAGTCATGTCAAAATGCAAGGAGGCATGGTGGAGTAATGGATAGTGGCTTGGATTGAGGAATTGGAGAGCCGAGTTTGAATTCCAGTCGAATCCATTACATTCACTTACATGCTAATACCCTTGGGAAAGGTGTGAATCCTCTTCTTCTCCCTCCAGCTATGGGTAAATAGCAGGATGGACTGGGTTCTATAGCTTTGGATGGCAACTGGTCTAGGAGAAGGAAAATTCTGAATTCAAAACCTGCAGAGGGTCGTTTGGGGACCTTGTGGCACGTAGTACACCAGGTCTCTGTAATCGGCCCTTTAAAAAGTGTGGATGGTCCTGCATGAAACCTTCACCACTATAATCAAATCTCATGTGCTATACATGCTGGTTGGGAACCGCTTATGAATTCCAAATTCCCATGAAACTCCAATATTGGAGCTGGCTCAACCCACCTAGGATGAATGCCGTTACATGAACAAGAAGAAGAAAATGCAAGCCATCCCATTTTATTGGCTAAGAAAAATATCCCAGTAACAGAGGATCAGGTCAGCCTAATAAAAGACTGAGTTGTTTGCATGTGGGGCTGTAAGCACCAACTGATGTGCCTTCTTCCACAATAGGCTGTTGAGAGAAGACCTACTTAGAGTAGGTGGCACTGAATATTTGCATATGAATGATACTAGGCAGGTATTAGTCGATAGTCAGTGTGGGTCTGGGACTGACATAGCTATATAACACCAGTGTTTTTCTCAGACTAGAAGAGTGCTCCTGATGTGCGAATACCAGACAAGACAAATAAAATCCCTGGAAGCATTTTGTGTCCTACCAGAGAAAAATTTCTGCAATCATTCCCCGCCATTAGGGAAATCAACAGTTAAGATGAATGAAACTCCATAGTTCAACCAGTTCTAACCTTTACAGCTAAGACCCACCATGCCACGCCCATTGTAATGAACCACACTCATTACCTTCTTATCCCCCTGTTGAGATGAAAGTTCCATACAAGCAGCTTCTTCCCACAAACCACTGCTTTGTTGAACCAACTCCCAAGAGGCTGCTTCCCTGTCCATTACAATCATAACGTCTTCTTGTCTAGGGTTAACCATTATCTTCCAAACATATCTGCATAAGGTATGCTTCATACTCTGTAACCCTAGACTTTGAGTGGCCCCAAGGCCTTGTACAAAATGAACATCACTGTAAAAAACAAAAACAATATTTCCCTATCCCTAAACCAAGTAAATGTTTATAGACACAAATATAAAAAAAACAATATTTCCTTATCTACAAACCAAGTAAATTTTTATAAACTCAAATATAAAATACAATATTTCCCTATCCTCAAACCAAGTAAATTTTTATAAACTCAAATATAAAAAACAATATTTCCCTATCTTCAAACCAAGTAAATTTTTATAAACTCAAATATAAAAAAAACAATATTTCCCTATCCTCAAACCAAGTAAATTTTTATAGACTCAAATATAAAAAAAACAATATGTCCCTATCCACAAAACAAGTAAATGCTTATAGAATTAAACATAAACAACCAATATTTAGCTATTCCTAAAACAAATGTTTATCTACTCAAATATAAAGAATGAATATTTATTTATGCGTGGGCCATGTAAATGCTTAGAATTAAAAATAGTGAAAAAAAAAAAGAATTGATTTCAACATTACATAACCTGACCCAACATGTAAAATTGACCAACCCAACCCATTTCTTAGAATAATCAATATTATATTAAAAATTTCAAGATGGATTACTGTAGATAATGTTTTCCTTCAAATAGTTTTAACCAATTTACAAGTGTGCTTAGAACTGTCTGTGTGTATTCTCTTCACAGTAGATATCCAAAAGTTATGTTCACAGTTTCCTCTTTAAGGATTTAAAATGTTTCTTTATGGACAACACTTTAATTTTCCTTGTGATATTAAATGTACTTTAATACTGCAGGCACTTTCTTTAGGTACCTCCTTTTTCCTTTTCACCCTAAGATATTTGTAGAATTTTCTATCAAGAATATTTTTCTTTCTTTCTTTCTTTCTTATTCTGGCTTCTTTTATAACACCTTTTGCCACCACCCACACTTAGTGGTTCAATCCTTGGGGGTCTTAGGATAACACCTTAGCCATGGACTAACTCTGTGCTGGTCAATGCTGACAATGATCAAAGCTGGTTGTTGGTTGCTTTGATTCACAGTGTCTCTGCCCACATTTTGTTTTTTGATCTCAGAGCATTGGAGAATCAAAGGTTATAGTCTTGATGTGCTGGTCAAGCCGTGGCAGGTGTTATATTAAGCAAAAAAAGTAATATCTTGAAGATGAAAATTAAAACGAGAAATTTTCGGGGTTAATCTTCAATTGGTTTATATAGCTCTAGACACAACAAAAATTAACCCTTCCCACATCAATCTATATAGGGATACTGGGCCTTTTATAAACTACTGGAAGACTGTGTTCAAAGTCTTAGAATCAGGAATTCTGGTAGCAGCTGACATGGATTCCAGAGGCACTCAATGCGGCTTCTCAGCCCAAGGCTTTGAGCTCTCTGAAATCATCTGCTTATATGCACTTTATCCCAAAACTAGTGTGGGGCTGAAGGGTTATTGGGATTTGTTGATTCTTTAATTTTAACATTAATTCTAATAAGGGCTTTCTTTGTTCCTATTTCTGCTTTCATAATCAACTTTCCAGATTTGGAGAATTATCCATCTTCCTTGCTTCTCCCCTAACTCCCACCTGCCTCACTTCACATCTTACACCACCACTCCATATAGGCAATGCCAAATTCTCCTTCTTCCTTCTAGCCTTTTAGCATTCAACCACAGCCCACTTCCCAGAACATGCATAACTGTCTTTTTTGAGAAATCTAATTTTTAAATCACATAGGTGGAAGGGCGGAGTTTTATTCTACTCATTAATTTTAATTTCTGAAACTTTCTATTTTCCTGGAATTATCTTTTTGAAAAAATAAAAACCAGACCACTGATGACAGATTTTGTTTTCATTATTCCAGGGTTAATTGTACAGTACATCCTGATAATGTTAAAGAAATTTATGAGAGAGCAAGGCCTGAACATTCAATTAATATTTGTTTAATAGTCTATGTCATTTCATATATTTGGCATACTGGTTGATCTTCACTGTTTAGTAAGTATAAGTTGGTTATTCTCATTTGGCCAGTACATAAATATGTCTGTATTAAATCTTCCTTTCAAGATTTTCTAAAAGCTGACTACTATTCTCCTAGTTTGGGCTGAATTGTGAAGAGTTTATTGTGTGCTGCCCTTTTGTTGCTTCTTATCTTTCCACAAGTGAAGCTGTCATTCTAGGACCTGCTGACAGGACATAATCATTTTTTTTTTTTTTTTTTGATAATTTAAAGCAGTTTTGATTAGAAATAATGAAGTGGTCTTCAATAAAAAAGGACTCACATAAAAAGAATGCTTACAATTCCCAGACACTAGTAAAAAAGAACCAGTGAATAAACTTATACCAAAGTTTTATTGCACTTTAAAAATGACTACTTTGTCTACTGATGGATATTACAGGGTACTTTTTATACCTCCTAAATCTTAAGGGGAGGTAACTGATGATTTATCAGTGCACCCATCTTGCTGAGCAAAGACATCCACACTGGCTTGACTTTTACACCAGACCATTACATCACTTCCTTACTTACTTACTTTCTCCCTTACCAGTAATGTTTCCTATTATTTGAACTTCATTTCCAGATTTGGTATGCTATACCAAACATCCTTATTTATACTTTTCTGAAACAATTTCAACAGGTGACTTCTGACCCTTCCAATTTGACTTTCAGGAATTTGTGAATTTCAAACTTAATATTCATTTCTGTGTTTATATAAGACTGTTACAGAATGGAGAGTCTGGGACAGGATGGTCAGCAGTTAGTCAGAATAACTTGTAGGCATGGTATTCTGACACTGACAGATTGCCTTTGTCCAAGGTTTGGATATAAGACCAAAAAGGTATAAAGGACTACATTGTTGATACACTTCCCACACTGGAGTTTGTTAGACAAGCTAAGACCACACGTAGAGGAAACTAAGCCAACAAGGAAGTATTCATTCGATTAAAGTTCTCCCCCTCACTGTATTCATCCAATTAAAGTTCTCCTCATCACTGTCTCCTGGAATTGAGGCTACCATGTGTGTCCCTCTCTTCTGTGAAAATGAATAAGAAATAATTTCCTTGATACCATCTATGAAGTGGCTTTTGCATCAGAGCAGCTGAAGCCAGTGATGAGAAAAAGCAACAAGACGTAAGATGTTATAGATGTTGACATTCAACACTAACTTTGAATAAAAGGTTAGGAAAGAAATACCCATCAATAATGGAAAGAGCAATAACAGCTACATGACTTGAGAAACCTATTTTCCTGAAAAATTACTTTAAGAGAAAGATTTAATAAATTTCAACCAACACTTGTACTGGATGCTCAGTCAATAAATGTGAAATGTTTCCTTACAAGGAAAAGGCTAATATTACCATCATTATTTCTATTCACCACTTTCTCTGTAAAACAAGATTCCCTGATGTTTTCTTTTGTACATCCAAAAGAAGAATGATTGATTGATATGTTTTCTATGGTTTATCAACCCTTTGTAGGTTATTTAAAGCCAGAAAATATTTTTAGATTGTAAAATTTTTTTTGAGATAATAATGATTTTGTGATACCAGTCTTACTAATTAACCCATAGTTGAAAGAGGTAGATTTCCTAGGGTATTTGTATGTAAGTGTATATAACAAACCTGTCTTTCAGATTTCAAATTCTGAGCCATTATCCATTAGGCCACCCGTATATCTAAGCTTACGGCTCCTGGTATTCTCAAGTGCTCATCCATCTAGGTACTGACCAGGCTCAACATTGCTTAACTTCAATGATAGTATGGGAACCGGTGTTTCAACATGATATAGCCATAAGCCCCCAAGAAGAATCACTTCAACAGTTGCCACTCTTTCGCTTACAAACATTTGGCTTCTCTTTCCTCTCATTTCTTGAAAACCCTGATATGCCTGGAGAAAAACCATTGCATTGTGCTTAATTCTATCCACTTTAGATTAAATATTGAATTTCTTTTTAACTTAAACTTTCAACAGAAATTTTTATGAAATATTTATTCAGATTATCTCAAGGCCAATGAGAATAAAGTAATTAGGAAAAAACATAGCTTTCTTGTGTTATTATTTGGACTATTGCTTTCATCTTTGTCGCCATATTTATTACAATGTTTTGGCCGTTGTACACTCCAGTAGAAATGTTGAACTGAACCCTTTATTTCGCTCACTGGGGTAGACTGTTCTAGTTCCACGTGCCATGTTTAATGGATGTCAATTATCAGTTATCTCCTGATAATTCCCCTCTCCACTGACTTAACCGGGTATTGAACTCACACTCTTTGGGTCTTGTCACTGGATCTAACCAATGCCTTTATCCACTGTGTCCTTGAGGACATCTGGGTATGAATTTCTGGGTATTATAAACCTAATGTCTTCAGCAACAATTTTTTACCAGTGCTCATATTGTAATTTTTACTGTTATTATCGCTTTTCTCTGGCACTCCTTATTACTGGTTCCCATACTGTATTCATTTCTATGCTTGGACAGCTCAGGAGATTTTTGTGGCCTAGCATATGTGCTGATTCCTTAAGTTTACAAATTTTCCAATGGTGTTTCTTGTGTCTTTTCTATAAATATTTTCATGGTAATTGTTCTGATGAACTATCTATCTTCTATGGTACCTAGACTTTATGTATTTAATTGCAGTACTAGATTGGTGGCAAGGTTTCATCATTTTACAGTTAAAATGGTGAGATGTAACTGTAAGTTCTATGTGAACAGTTTCTTCTATCGCCCTTCTCACTTATGAAACTCTTGTCTGGCTTCTTGCTTCCTAGTCAAATTTGATCTTCAAAAATTTAAATGCAATATAAATCTCTATCTTCTGCCTTCTTAATTCTTGTTCTTTTATTGTCCTCTCCTTAATAGTAGCTTTTCTCATTTTCTCTAACACCCAGTAACAACCCTTGCATCACAGTGGCTTTATTGCCTTGATTGAGTGAAATGATTTAAGAAAAGAAATAAAAACAAAAAAAAAGGATTTCAGTCTAAATGACAAGTGCCAAGCAGCTTATCTCTGTTGTAATTCATATAGCTCAGTGGGGGAAAGGCTGGTTTTTGTAATTCAGTACCTCCAAAACAAAGCTTGTAATTTTCATCACCACTGAATAGACCATAGATTTGCACCAATCATGATATAAATGCATCTGGATAAATGCTGATGTGCATTTAAATTTCCTGAAAATAATGTTTATAGTAGTAGAAAATAATATCAGATTTTAAAAATCTATTTAAAAATTACTGTTTACATTCAGGATATGAAAATGAGGTTAGTAGATATAGATTTGAATAAGTTCTGGAGGAGATATACATTCCTTAAGTTATTAATTGAGCCTTGCCATATCTTGATGGTTTCCTATGGCCTAATTGGTAAAGGCACATTTCAGTCTTAAGAATGATTTCCCTGGGGGAATAAGGGAATACAGATTTGATTTCTGTCAGGAGGAGAATTTTTCTTTGGAGGGACACCTTTATCTAGGCCAATTGACATTAATTTCATTGATTAAGAAGATAAAAAAACAGGGTTGTCTACTGAAACATGTGTACTCACCAAAAATTATATGACATTTGTTAGGAATCAACTGTTTAAACAAAGTCTTCATCAATGATGAAGAGAGAAAGTGAGAGAAAGAGGACATAGGAATGAATAGGTGGTGACTCGGTTTCATGTTTTAGTGCAATCTTCAAAAAAATATGGTACCAAGACTTTAGAGAGAGAGGACATAGGAATGCATAGGTGGTGGCTCGATTTCCATTGTTTATGTTTATAAAATGTTTAACTGTTCCTCATATGGTTGTTTATGGCTGTATGTGTTTACGCAATGAATATAGCATTACTAATGATACTTTTATCATTCTCTTTTACTTTTTTAACTTATTTAACTAGAAGATGGGATAAAGAGATGGAAGAAAAGAGGTTAGTCTATTCAAATGTAATTTGGTCTCTCGAAAAAGGAAACCACATGATATACGAGATACATGATGAACTCATTTTTTATAAGTAAAAATTTGGGGGTCGCACAATACGCAAGATCGCACATTACACAAGTATATACAGTATATAAATTATTATTTGTATATGTTGTAACCTATGGAAGGTTACTGAACAGAATAATCAAACAAAAGTTGGTAATGTATGATATACTTAGGACAAGTAAAAGTTTATTGTAAAAAACGATACCATAAGAATAAAAAAGTAAACGGTTATGCACAAGATTGTCGCAAGTCAATCCAGTAATGAGTGCTACTATTGGAAGGTTGGTAGTTCTTGCGTAAGCCTGAGTCATATTCAAGAGATCCCAGCTAGACTAGTATTGTTATATTCCATGCTAATAGGAATATATACCTGAAAAACATGGTGGATATTGTAAGTAAAGGTTTATTGCAAAAACTAGTAGAATAAGAATAAAGGTAAACAGTTAATCACAAATACAAACATAGCGAATACGCATCTTTTCCATTGTTTACCTTTATAAGATTTTTAGCTGTTTCTCGTTTAGTTGTTTATGGCTGTATGCATTTACACAATGAATATGGCATTACTAATAATACTTTTATTATTCTCTTTTACTTTTTTTAATTTATTTAACTAGAAGATGGGATAAAGAGATATTAGAAAAGAGGTTAGTCTATTGTACTTTGGTCTCTCAAAAAAGGAACTCAAATGATACACAAGATCCATGACGAACTCATTTTTTATGTAAAAATTTTGGGCTCACACTTTACGCAAGATTGCATATTACATGAGTAGAATTAATTACCTGCTGCCCCATGCAGCAAGATGTGGCACAAGGCCGAGTTTAAAGTGAGGAATCTGAGCCCATAGGCTCGGGCAAAAATTCCCTATAGAACATGTAAAAAACAGAGTCAGCTTCCCGAGACGAGACTCTGCCCAAAAGGCATAGCCTCGTCTGGGGGGGTACCCTCTGACAAGTATATATAATATATCATTTATTATTTGTATATGTTGTAACCTATGGAAGAATAGAATAGTCAAATGAAAGTTGGTAATGAATGATATACTTAGGCTAAGTAAAGGTTTATTGTAAAAACCAATACAATAAGAATAAAGATAAATACTTATGCACAAGGTTGTTGCAAATCAATCCAGTAGTGAGATTTATCTAAGTAAAATCATCTTTGCCATCTTGTATCTACAGATGCTATTTTTCTCTCAGTTAAATAACAATCACATTCCTTTTTATACCTTTTGTAATGTGGTTATTAAAAATAATAACTAGAACAGCAACTTACAAAGTATAAGGATTTATTTTAGACAAGAACAACGCAATTAAATATTTAGAAGTTCGTCTGAAGCTGGAAAGCAAGCTTTCCCCCACTGAGACCAAACACCACAGATGCTTATATTCCTACTAAAAGACCATTTAATAGAGGTGTATCAGTTATTTGTATACTGTGGGTTATCAGTTCATTCCCTACAACAATACTAAAGTTCACCAAATACAAAGTGTCCATAAAGTTTGTGTGCACTTTAAAAAAATTATTACTTTATTTGTATTTACGATAGAAATAATCTGTAAAAAATGTTATAAAGTTTAATGTACCTTGTTTTAAGTATAGCTAAAAGAACTAATGTCATTTCAGGCGTTACTGTAAATCAGTTTGTTAAAATGTCTTCCGTGAACTGCAAAATCGTATTACCCTTTGTATTGCTAATGATGGAGGACAAGTGGAAAAATAAAATTTCAATAAAACCTTAAAAAATATAGATTTACTTCTTTCTAATCCTTTTTACAAATTATTTCTATCGCAAATACAAATAAAGTTATAAATTTTTAAATTGCACACAAACTTTATGGACATCCTGTGTATATAAGGCCCAAGAGCCATTCAAGGTAGAGTATTATTGTTAAAGTGCTTATAATAAGTAACTATATGAATCAAAGAAAGAGTGGTAAGAAATGAAGATAGGGAACACAGATTATGACTGGCCCTTCACTTGAAGCTGAAGGAATTTATCTACTGTGTTTTTCAAGTATATATTTCTCTTAGTATGAAATAGAACAAAAAACGAAAGAGATAAGGTCATTAAAAAGAAATATTTTATTAGAAAGAAGAAACTCTTCTTCTATAATTTCTTGCATGAAGCATTGTCTATTTTTTTTTTAACATTTCCAGTTGAATTTCTTTCATTTTAATTTCAGGTTAATTTTAATTACAACTGTGAAAACTGTTATTGGTTAACTGGGAGAAACATGAACCAATTTTCTTTTTAATCATTTCACCCCAGGCAAGGCAATAAAGCCACTAAGATGCAAGTGGCTACTGAGAATGAAAGAAACTAATAAAACAATATTGAAGAGAAAAGAGGATTCAAAGAAACAAGATGACGATTGAGATTTCATTTAAAAGCAAGAAATGTGAAAGAAGAAACTATTTTTTATAACTCAGGGAAGGTTACTGAATAGAATAATCAAACAAAGGTCGGTAATGAACGATAATACTTAGGACAAGAACAACACATATAAGATTCGCTAGCACCACGTAGAAGAAGTAGTCAATTTCTAAAAGTGAGTCAAGTGAATTCCATAATGAATCTCCAACTGCAGACCAACATACAGTATTTATGTGAATGGGGACATTACCCATTATCATTTGCAGGTATGCTACAACAGGGGAAATTTCTTCTTTTGAAATACAGAGGAAATGAGAATTATAGATTATCAAAAATGGAACATTTACAAGAACAAATAGAAAATTGTTCTTTATCAATTATTTTGGTTCTTGGAGCAAAGTTTTTACTTAATGGGGTGTTCGGAAAGTGAAACTAGTTCCAATTACCCATTTCAGACATTTGTATTCACATGATACACTAATACAACCTAGGGAAGTAGCAGAAGACCTGGAAAGGAATGACAAATATACATTGAGCTCAAAGAGTTTTTATAAAGCACTACGACAAAAATGTCATGTACAAATATATATATATATATATATATATATATATATATATATTTATTAAAACATTTTATGTTTAACGTTGTTATTTATAAAAATGTCTTTAATAAATAAATTGTCGGACCTTGTCCATTTCTTTATATATATATATATATTGCTGTAACCTAGGGAAGGTTACTGAATAGAATAATCACACGAAGGTTGGTAATGAATGATAATACTTAGGACAAGAACAACACATATAAGATTTGCCAGCAGCACGTAGAAGAATTAATCAACTGCTAGAAGTGAGTCAAGTGAATTTCACAATGAATCTCCAACTGCAGACCGACATACATTATTTACTACTGTATTTATGTGAATGGGGATATACCAATTATTGTCCGTAGGTATGCTACAACACTATTAGAATAGAACTTAAGGTTACATTGAACTATTTTATCCTTTTCTTTTTAATCATTTCACCTCTAAGCAAGGTGATAAAGCCACTAAGATGAAGAGGTTACTGAGAGTCAAACAAAATGAGGAAACATTAGAGACAAGGAAAAACACAAAGAAAATAGGATTTAAAAACATAGCAGATGATAAATGACATTCCATTTAAATTTTGGAAGAACAGACTTGACAGAAAAATAGGGACCCAGAAGAGAGTTTCACAGTCAAGAAGTGTGAGAAGAAACTATTAGAATAGAACTTGTGGTTACACTGAGCTATTTCAACAGTAAAATGATGAGACCTAGCTGTCCATTTACCTATCTTCTTTTTTTTTTTTATCTCACCCCAAGCAGAACAATATAAACACAAGTAGTTACTGAGAAAAAAAGAAACTGAGAAAACATTACTGACGAGAGGGGACAGTAAAAGAACAAAATTCAAGGAAAAAAAAAAGTCACCAGGAAGACACAAATTTGTAGGAAGCTTTTCTCTGCAATAGATTTATAGATTTGTTTTTTATGGTTTAGCAACCTTTTGTAGGTTTTTTAAAGCTGAAGCATATTTTTGGAAGAGTAAGAATTTTTTTTTTTTTTTTGACAGTGAATATTGTTTTAACAAATACAAATCCTACTTTTTAACCATACATAGGGGAAGAAGAGCTGAATTCATATCTTTCCCAAGTATATCTGCACATAAGTGAATGTAATGAACCTGACTGGAATTCAAACTCAGTTCCCCATTTTCTCATTCTGATCCATTATCCATTACACCACACAAAAATCCAAGCTTACAACAGCTGATATTCCAAAGTAAAGTGATCACCCACTTAAGTACTGATCAGGCTCAATGTTGCTTAACTTCAGTGATCAGAAGAGAGCCGATGTTTCAATGTGATATGGTTTGGTTTGTTTTGTTTTACAGCATATCAACCTCAATGGGTCATTTAATGCCAACAACTTTTTTTTTCCCTGGTAATATTTTTGTTTTGTCAAAAATCTATTTCTGGTAATATTTTTTTCCTCAAAAACGTATAGCTGGTAATAATATTTTTTCAAAAACATATAGCCAGCAACACTATTTTTTCAAAAATGTATAGCTGGTAATATTATTTTCAAAAACATATTGCTGCTGGTAATAGTTTTTTTTCTTCAAAAATTTATTTCTGGTAATAATTTTTTTTTAACAAAGTATCTCCGGTACATATTTTTACACTTTCAAAATGCTTTTTACCTCAGTTTTGGGGTTAACTGTTTGTCCATAGCTGGGACCCTAACAGGTGCTACCACCCCAGGTCAGGGTGGACCTGGGAACACTAGCAATTAAGAGGTGGTTCCATGCTCCTCAAAGCCTCCAGATCAGAGGCCTTGCTGTTAGATGTAGTTTATTGGCTTAGCCTGGACATGGATGTAGTTTATCATCATACCCAGGACAAAATGTGATATGGCTGTAAAAGACAACTTTCAGAAGATGAGTATTTTTCTGGCTGAAATAAGGATGCAGTAGACACTAGTGTCACCATTATTAAATACAGACTCACAGATACTATTTAGTACTAAATACAAATCCCATCTAAAATAGTCATACTAGTGGGAATTTGAAAATTAAGAATGCCAAGTAAACTAAATGTTCTGCTAGGAATTTTTATGTTTAATAAACATACTAGTTCATATAATAATGACATGATATACTGATTTGGTTTTCATGGCTTATTAACATCTTTGTGGGTTATTTGAAGCCAAACCATATTTCAGATTGCAGGAGATTCCTTACAGTACCTAGTGTTCCCAAGCAGTCCCCCATCTAAGTACTGACTGGGCTCAACACTGCTTAACCAGTGTTTTCAGTGCAATTTGACTGAAGGTAAGGAGAAAAGAGTTTTGATTGACTGAGTGATTTGTTTTTATGGCCTGTCAACCCTTTGTGAGTTATTTGAAGCCGAAACATATTTCAAATTGTAGGAGGTTGCTTACTGTACTAAGTGTTCTCCTATTTAAGTACTGATCAAGCTAAATGTTGCTTAACTTTGATACAAATCAGACAGTGATCTTACCACATTCAAAATCCAAAGTTTTTCTCAGGCTTGAACCCAGATATTAATGAGGGTGGATGAAAATTTAGATCCAAAAGATAATACATGGGAAATACTATATGAACACCATACCAGGAAGGAAAATTGAAGGGAATAATTATGTCTTACGTCTTACATATAACCAAGTACAACCTATTACATGGACAGGTGGTGAGTGTCTAAACTAGTTGCCTAACTAAAGACCTGTCAAAGGGTGGATATGTTAGCTGTTGGCTTAATATTAGAAAGAAGCCAACAAAATATATATATATATATATAATTATTTATTTAAAATATGATTCCAATTCACGACATAAGAGGTCTCATGTTTCAAAAAACAAGAGCCGAAAAATATTCAATATAATTATTTGAATTAAATTGAGTTAAAGTAAGCTCTGTTCCATCTTCGAGCGAAATTTTTTTTGGAATAACATATTTCTGAAATTTACGTGTTTTAATAATTGAAATCAAAATTTCCATGGTAACAGCTAGGGCAAATTGTTTAAATTGGGTAGGCGTGTGTTGGGTGTTAATAATATTTATCAGTATAGAGTTACTTTCATAGATGTCAAGTCAGGGAAAGGTGGGGATGTCTAAATTTGAAACGGAAGATGTATTAACTCTAGTCTGATATACTTGTCTATGGAGATTTATTTATTTTTTTATGAAAGGGATTTGTGCATATAAAAAAAACTGCCATAACGTTTGTTTTTTGACGACTTCATAAAGGGTTATCTTTTTTGTAGGGTATTTAAACTATTTATTTGGGCTATGGATTATGAAAGTTATTATATTGTATGCTTGTTCTTAGCTAATTATTCAAACCATGAATCTGATGATTGGGCTATGGATTAATCAAGTTATTATATTGTATGCTTGTTTTTAGCTAATTATTCAAACCATGAATCTGATGATGTCAACAAAAAACTGTTAACTCATGTCTATTGTTTAATAGATTATTATTATTTAGAAGCTTAATCATGTGCAATTTCTCATGGAGACACAAAGGGCATGGGTCATCCAAAGTTTTACATGTTCTAGCCCTGTTTATAATTTTCCATTTTACTTTAGGTGTCCTATTTGTTTCCTTTAGATGCCAAAAATATTTAGATAGGGAAGTCTGATGTCTTTTATTTATATTATTGAAAGAGCACTTATGCTGCCTCCATCTATCTTTAAAATCATTCTCCATGGACCCAATATATATAATATTAGTGCTAGGGCTCTCAGTGGATGATATAGTACATTGGTAAACCACAGACACACACACTACAGTTCAAAAGTTTGAAGCTACCCCCAAATTAGCATGGAATGAACTTGACAGAAGAGTGAAAAATAAATAAATAAATGAAAAAGAGCTATTTGAGTCATTGACAAAAAAGGAATCAATTGTTAAACTTATACTTAGAGAAACTTTCACATCAAACGTCAAAAATTTAAGTTGAAGTAATCAAGGCTAAAGGAGGTCATTTAGATGAGAGCCAGATTTAAACATAAAATTTCTAATAAAGTATGTCTCACTTTTTTTTTTAACCATGTATAATAATTTTCTTTCATTTAAAGCACAAAACAACTACTTTTTGGGTTAATTTAAAAAATTACCAGGGGTTCCTCAAACTTTTGAAATGAAGTGTGTGTGTATATATATATATATATATATATATATATATATATATATATATATCAGGCTAGGGTGGTTTTCAAACCTTGAATGGGAACCTTGATGTACTTGGACTACCTTGAGTATTTGAGTTGGGCATCAATGAGGCACACATAGCCATGTAAAATCCTTGCCTCTCAAATCATTACAACAAATCCTTTGTCATGCAGGACCTGCCTTACTTTGTCCTCTATTCATTACCATATAGGAAGATTGATATTACACAGTACACCAGCACTATTTTATTTGTTTGTAAAGAAATTTCTTAATACTTTCTTTAACTTTTGGAAGGCATTTTTGTTACTCATGTCTGATTTCAGATTTCATTATCACCTTTCCTTGACTGTTAAAAGACTTTCCTAATAGTTAAATTTCGGTATTTGCTTGCATCTGATGTCTTCTATTCATTGCTCACATCTTGGGCTGTCCATATGACCAGACATTTTGTCTTCTAGCAATCAAGAATTAGTCCTTTCTTCCTGCTTTCCTTTACTCCCTTGTCTCACCTGATGAATTGGATGATTCTCTAATAGAAGGTACAAGTTTTTTTAAAAGTCTATCATTCAGATTGAATTAATGTTATGGAAATTCATCTCTGCCATTAATTACTTAACTCTACAGTGAGTGCTCATTTATTGTGTCAGACGTTTTAAAAAAATTTTTTAAAAGCAATTCACCCCAAGCAAGGTGAGAGTGCCACTAACACCCAGGGGGTTACAGAGGATTGAGAACAAGAGTACAGAGGCATGTTTTGGGAAAGGATACAGAGAAGGATGAGGAACAAGTTCAGGGTGCCAGATGTCAATTGACATTACACTTGAATATTTGAAGATTATAGTCATTGGTGAAGCAAGTAAGGGGAAGGGACTTCCACAGATGGGAAGTGCAGGAGAAGCCATTTGAGTAGAAGAAACAGTTATATTTAACTGTTTTGACAATGAAAGGGTGGGACCGAGACGCCAGCCTGGTAGCTCACTTAAATTCATGCAGTCCAGGAACCAGTTAAAGTAGCTTGTCAGAACAGCTGCCATGAAAATACTCGTAGAAGAGACAGAGGAAAGCCATGGCACTTCTGTGGGATAGTGATTGTAGGCTAGATGCCAAATCAGGATCTATCATCTTGATCTGGTGTCTACAATTGCTATCCTACAGACTAAATAACTATATGCCTAGCAGGCCAGATCATTAGCCATCTTGGTTTGGTTTGTTTTACGGCATATCAATGTCAATGGGTTATTTAATGTCAACAAAATTTTTATTGCTGGTAATGTTTTTCTTCAAAAATCTATTTCTGGGAATATTTTTCCGTGAAGAAATTCTATAGCTGTTTGTATTGCTGATGTTTTTTTAAACTGTTGCTGATAATTTTTCCTTCAAAAATTATTGCTGGTAATAATTTTTTTTATTGCAAAGTATTTCTGGTATTAAAACCTATTTTTACACTATTTGCCCATAGCTGGGACCCTAGCAGGTGCTACCACCCCAGGTCAGGGTGGACCTGGAAACACCAGCAATTAAGAGCTGGTCCCATGCTCCTCAAAACCTCATGATCAGAGGCCTTGCTGTTGGATGTAGTTTATTGTCTTACCCAGGATGCAGATGTAGTTTATTGTCATACTCAGGATGGTTAGCCATCTTGTCTCACAGTTCAATTCCCTTGTACAATGATGTTGATCCTTATTAAAACTGTTGCAGCCTTGTGCCAGATATTTAATTCATAAAATGATGAAAGCTGGTTACATCTCATGAACCTGAATGAGATTCATAAAAGAAATCCAACATGAAAAGACGGCAATTACTTAATTTGTTTTGCTCCTAACTATCGTGAGATTGTCAGGCAGCAGGGAGTGCCATGCCAATTCTTGAAAGAATCTAACTCCTGAGGTTGAATTGATTTATTTAACTCTAGTTTAAAAAGTTTGTTTATCAATGAATTCAATTAAGACAAAGTGGGACAGGCAGTTAAATCAGTTAAATATCATCGTACAGAAATTTCTCAGTTATCAGGACATCTTGAGACAGAAGTTGAAAAAATATATTCAAGTAACTCAGAAAGAAGAAAAATGTCATTTTCTGAAAGAATATAATTTATATTATTTACATTGTTTGGACTGTTGTCCTCATCTTTATTGCCATATTCACAACGTTTTAGCCATTGTACACTTCGGTGT